CACTCAACGGGGGTTCGATTAAAGCCATTTTGTTTACAGAATTTAAGGGCCGTTCTTTAAGACTCTTGCACTTTTAACATCTTTGGGAGATTCGGCTTGCTATCGGCCGAAAGCAAGTCCGCTGAAGTTTTTGTATATAGCAATACTTTAATGAGATTACACCTGTCGATATCAAAGTTACTTGTCATACAAGAAAGAATTATTTCGAAAATTATTAGCAAGTGGTTTCGGCTCCAAATTGGAGCTGTGAATGGCGATTATGCTAAATAGTTACGACCATCAATTTTAGAAAGAAAAATCGTTAAAAGGTTTCCTTTTTTTTAGTTACAGTCTTATAGATGGGCTAGAAGAAAAGCTCCGAACTTATACGCCGCATTTTGTATATGTATAAAATACATCTTTAAGCTAGCTAAACAACTGACATTGTTCAATATACACTGCACAGCGTTAAACGATAGGATACGTTTAAAGATGGCTGACATATAATTTATGAGTTAAGGCGTCCAACAAGATTCGCCAAGCAAATAAAACCTCCCCCTAACGCATGACTTCCTCCATGTTAAGGAAAAGGCCATGCCGTGTAACGCTCGTTCTTTTCAGTAAATATTGCCTCTGATAAGATCATCGGTGTCAGTTCGTACGCCTGGATGATCAGATATGGAGGTAACAAGTGCAAAACAAGGAAATGGATAACGAATAATCTCAGATAGGAGATAAGGGAAAAGAAAGAAAAATTCGAATGGTTTATGATAGGGGGAACAGTCTATATGCATGAACATCTGCTCTCTGTTGTTGCTGCTGCTGCTTTCGTGAGCCTTTCATGATCTCGGAATAGCAGGCCTAATTGAGCTCACATTTGTTAATAAGATATATGAGTTGATTAATATTCCAAATGTTTCCTTTTTTCATAATTCTTTTATCCAGAAGCCATTTTCATCAGATTTTTCTGCCAACCACCATCGCATCACCTTCCCGAGGGCAGGATATGAATCTAAGCAGGGATACAATGCTGGCTTATGAATGTTAGATTTCTCACGAGATCATGCCAATAGGCTATGCTTTTTTGAACAGTAGAATAAAAAAAGCTATATTCTATGAATCAGCCAACAGCGAAGGTAAACAGACGTCGTCAAACTTTAGCAATGTCAACTTGCTGTTGGAACAGTGATCTTGGGAACGTTTTTACCATTGTCAGGACATTGCAAGCGAGTCAAAAGTACGCCCATATTCCTTTTTGAAATAACTGAACTTCAATTTGAACAGGGTCGTTCTATTAAGTTATTCATCTAGTTGCATCATTTTACAATAATGCTTAGAGACAACACTGGAACTACATAGAAAAATTCTCTTTGTTAGCTGGTCTTGAACCAGAGATATTGCTCAAGCCAGATTGCCATTACGTACAGCGTACAGAAGATTAACGGTTTACCACCTAATCAGGGCTTCTCATTCCACCAATTCAGGGCGCTCATAAATCAATTGATATCATTTAACTACCTTTTTATCTTCGCTTGCCCCTTGATCTGGCATGCCATTTTCCTTGTTCTCCTTAAATGTTTCTGCAAATCTTCGATAAAATTATCAAATCGTCCTATTAGGACCCTCTGAGCACAATGATATAATCATAATAACAGCAGCGGCCATAACCCATCAATGGCAAATAAGTTAATCTACTAACTAATTTATATTAGCTCATATTTTTCAAATAGTACACGTACCCAGCCACAAGCTGCGTTCGTACAGAACTTAGTAATCCTATTCTAATCTAGTAACGCTTAATAATATGAATATACACGTGGTATCAAATACTGCAAAGATGTTAAAGCTATAAATGTTGTGTCTATGTACATCCCAGCTATAATATGCTTATTAAAAGAGATTCTATGAAAGCCGAAAGCGGAACTGTGGGGCACGCGTACAGTTACAGGTTTCGATCCTGCTGGGGCTAAGAAAAGTATATGTCGGACTTTCATCGAATCCCCCTCAGGCTCTTACACTTACGTTGCTAAATGCTGATTATGGACAGTGTGGTTCCGCTTTGAACGGAAGAAACGTCGCCATTTGAATTTGATTTGTGTCAGAGATACGACGCTCGAAAGTGGCATATGTGTCCACTGGTTCTATCCCGTTGGCCGCCCGTTCCTTGTAAATAAAACAGATGAAAGTATGGCAACAGTCTTATAGAACGAATACTTTTATTTTCTATAATCTTTCTGTATATTAAATATCGACAGAATTTTCTGCAGGGTGCGTTCATCGCGTTGGCAGCAACGTAGTTTTTAGCAGGAAACAAACGACGAAAGGAACAATAACGACGGGAAGCGCATAGGGAGCCTTACGTTTGAAAGGACGACGGCTAGTCGTCACCTGATACTGTATGATCCCACCTGGGTGTAAAACAAAGGCTACTAATATAGATAACTTCTAGAACTATATATCAGAGTCATCCCCATAAAACGAGTGAAAAAATTATACATGATCTTTACGTGACCATAACGTATACATGCACCCGAAATAAGGCTGCCCAAACGTTAACCGCTTATGAAGCACAGACATTTTTTTTTCATGAATTTACAGAGTTTCCCAAGCGTAACAGACGGCTGCATTTAGGTAACTTGTTGTTAGAAATGTTTCTATAAAAATCTTACTTTCCAACATAAAGTGGGATATTATGTACAGTTTGACACCGAACCAATTCGAGTGTTATCGACCTTGACCCAAGCGTATTGTTGTTTTGCCACCAGAACCTAGATGGTAAAGTATTTCTGTGTTCTGCGAAACCCCATCAAATGATACAACAATAACTAGACAAAATTGATAGCACCATAATGATGCAAAATGTTGATATGATGCCCACTGGATCAGACCTTGACTGTCTCATCGTTAGACCAATCTTGAGAGATAATTTTATTGAGGCGCAAATGTTAAATCTCCAATTTCTGCTCCATAGACTAACCCGTCCGATCCGCAACAAACTGCCTGCCTGCCTGCCTGATATATATCAAGCGCGTAAAAATCATTTACAAAATTGCTGATATGATTACCGCAATATAACAGTTCAGAAACGTGCTACTGACATATATTCTGAATTTGACGTCCGGTAGAACCGTTTGGCATTGTACCAAATGGTTAGCCTCCAGCACGGGGACAACTATGTCTAAGCCCAGTTTTGAGCTTAGACCACCTTACGTGTCCTCAAATCTTGTAGGCCCTACAACCGCACCATCACGGGGACACGTGCTCAGGACTAGGTCAGGTTTGTCTAGAGTACACTGGCAATAAAATATGATTCATAATTTCATATCTCGTATAACGTTACTAACTTCTCTATGTTCAATAGATTCACAGCTCCGGTATTCCATCGAGTCATTCCTGTTTAGTTGTTTAACATTAAGACAATTTCTAATACATTCTTAACTTCTAATTTAACTTACAGACGTTAGACTGACAGAATTAATATCGAGAACTTTGACAAAAATAGATTTTTCTTTTCCCGGAAAGAAGCCGGCTCACAAAATATTCACTCGCCAAAACACTCGTTATCTGAACGACCTATACAAAGTTGCTTATATATAGAATTGCCAAGCTATTTGAGCATCTGGCGATCCGCATGCATTTTCTATTTTAGTGGAAAGGCGTACAGTATGAACGAAAACTTCGTACACGTCTCACGTTGCCGTTACCCCTGAGATGGCGGGACAAATCAATAGCAAATTACAGGTGTGAATGGGTCATTCTGTAAATGTTACCGTAATGGGCAAGAACGGCGCTCATTTTGAATGCTCAACATAAAAAGTATTCGGCGTTTACCGATTACCTGGTGTTTACGGTGTGAAAAAATAAATTCACCGATTATCGTAACCTCTCTTTATAAGCTGAATGTGTGCTTATTAACATTGGCAGATCTTGTGGTATCTATATTAGTCTCAGCGATTTCAAGCGCAAAATCAATGATCTCACTTCCGGGGAATATGTGCAGAAAGTACTTGAAAAGCCTACCGATGATCCTTAGATGAGTGCTGAATCTACTCACTGAAGAATCATCCGTAATGCATGCCACTAAGTTACAAAAAATAGCTTGGTCAATTAGTCACGAACTGCCAATTAACAGCATCTTTATGCGGATCGTATTAGAGCTAAAAGTAACAAGTGGTATAAAAATATCCTAATGAAAAAGAGAAGAACTACAATTACAACGACAACATTAAACGAAATAAGCCTGCAGCAGGATTCGAACCTACACCAACACACCTGTCAGCTAGCTTAGCGGATGCTATACGTAACGAATCGCCGACATCAACAATAGTAATCGTGTATCGTTTCTGCGTTATATCCAAACTGTGTGTATCCAAAATTCATAGGCTGATTAGATCTGCGACATCCTTCCGAGTCTGACCACTAACTGGTCTTTTTTTTAAAGTATCATGACATTTGGTGCCCAATCGTCCGCATTTGAACTTTCCTGTATTCAGCAAAACCCGCTATTGCCCATTGTTTTCCTGGCGAATATCAACGACTTAAAAAACAACGACAGGATTATACGCACATGGACAACTAATCTTCTCGAGTTATTGATTACTGTTAGATTAATTGTTCCATCCAATACACGCAAGAAAAATGTGTAGACTCTCGAAATTACCGAGGCGTCAGTCATAATGTATTAAAAAATTAGGTGTAAAGTAAATTAGTAAAAATCTAATACGTGTGCGCCGAAAGAACACCTGCCAATGATCACTGTCGCCAATAAATGAGAGATCGTACGCAAAAGCTAGGAGCATTTCGGGCATACGATTTGCTCTGTTTTTGTCCATTTCTACGGCCAAAGAGAGAATCGGCTTGTTGGGTCTCTCGATATTGGGTGCATAGCAGTTGCAAATAAGCATATTGGTCGGTAAGAACGAGTAAAACTACAAGAGGTCCAATAATTATGTTATTTTTTAGATTTGTTTCAAAGTGATTGAACACATTCTTATGCCTCTCTCATTAGTTATATTCGTTTGCAACATTTTCTTTATTGAAAACTGATTAAGATAACACAAACCCTTAAAGCACGTACACTACAAACTCAAATACAAACAATGAAATTTTCGTTTTAACTGGGATTGCTGTTAATTTCCTCATTGCCGTCGTAGCCGTTTCGACAGGAGCTGTGCATGGATATTTGACATTACACCACCCTGTGCTGTGGTTACCCCTGTCAGCAACTGGCTCAACTGATCATCGTTGCGTACTAGCAATTGCAAGACCTTTTTTGTTGACTCGCAAGCTTCGCACCCTCAGCCATAAGGTGTTGCGGCGAGGTACACGGGTGCACCGGCTCCGATTCGACCGGCATAGCAGCCTTTATGCATGGGTGGGCCAATGCGGCCAACAGGAAAAGGAAGTCCTTCTTGGGATGACTTGGTTCCCTTTTTCATCCTTCCATTGGCATTCTTAGCGCGCCCCGTGACATCTGTGACTAGTGCCAACCTGACTCATTATGGATAGCCACCTAAATAGACCGAAGAAAAGATCAATCTACGTGGCGTAAAGTGGTGACATTTGCATTTATCACAGTGCCTATATCCGTTTGGTACATGTAGCTAATGTTAATTGTTCCGACGCCGACCTATAATTACTACTAAATCGTTAGAAAAACAAATGTCTATATGGAACATTGCCTATTGGATCCATTTCATTGATCAGGACACCTCTGTCTCCCGAAAAACAGTACCTCACGAAACAGGCTCCTTATTTGAACGTCGGAGGACCGAATTCTCAGTTTATCCCTTGCTCGTAACGCTCGGCGACGCTGGTTCGAGAATAGTGTTCTTCGTTGCAATCGATGAGACAACATAAATAGCTTGTAAATGTAGCGTCATGATTTCATACCTGGAAATAATAGAGTCTCAGCTTTCCATCAACGTATCAGTTTGATATGTAGAAATGTCTGACCAAGCGAAATGGTAGCATGCGGTTCTTGTTCTGCTTTATTGAAGAAAGCGAAATTTCCGGAAAGAGTACTGAAGAATAAATTGAATTATAGCGGTTATGTAGATAAATTAAAATGTCCGGATGTTGCACCAAATAAAATGTAAAACTAACGAGCCCTGTCCTTCGGGTTAGCCATATCAACGTCCTACCTACCTACTGTGCATTCTACTGACAAAAATAAGGCTTAACAGGGACTTCGTTGTTTGCTAGCGTTGGCTTTATTTCGTTACGTTGAGTCATGGACGTAAAAAGTTGATGTAACAATCTGATACAATGTGAATAGGTAACATTGTCTCTTTTCTAATTTGATATAATAAACTTTGAGAGAAGTGAGAAGAATTATATGATTAACTTTTACTCAAATTATGCATTCCAGAAAAGGAATGGCAACGATTATGACCTTTGACTAAAATTGACTTCAGCGCACAATAATAACTTTCCATACTTGCGCCATCCTATATAAAAGAATGACCGTCTTTATTTAGACAGGTTGTATGGCATATGTTGTTGGGGAGAATTGAAGTAACGACCCCCCTGGTCTCCTTCGACCATAGTGCTCGAACTAACCAACTAAACAAAAATGTCTCTTTATCATTGCCATCCAGTGCTATATTTAGCTATGGTAACGCGACGATGTATACGATTAGAAAGACTTTGCTACCGAATGGAGCATGTCCATTTCGACCATGTGGTACTTTAAAAAGCCTGCTATAAACGCGCGCATCACTATAAAATAAACACACAATGAGTAGAAGGTAGCAAATGGAGGGGCAAGGGGAGAATTCTCCAAAGACTCAGAACGATTCCTTCTATCGAATTATGCCCAGTTCTAGTTCAGATTCTCATTTTTCAGCTAGGAAAACCCTACTGTCTTGGTGTAAAATGTGTGTCAAAACCAGGACTTATCCTGCGGCTATAGAACTCTTCAAATGGAGATACGCGTGATACTGAACTCTTGTATGCGAATTCACGAACCGAATCCCGCGTGGAGCCATGGCACTTCTATTAAAAAAGCAAATCTTTTCGAAGAATTTTGTATAGGGGTTAGTTACATGTGGAGGCAGTGTACCCTGTCTAGTGATAACGCAGTAGCGTGGTTATTTCAAAACACGTTGGTGAATTGGTGTACCTATGGTGTTTTGGCTCATGCCTTCTACGTCTTCTAAAGGACGTCGGCCAGAAGCTCCTTTTGAACATGCCCCTTGCCTCCGACGATAACCAGCAGATATTAGGGAGGGCATAAAATGGTGACAAATAAGCTTGCGACTATGAAAATTGATAATTATACTGGCCCATGCGGTGGACTAGTTAAATGTCTGCGTGAAAGGACCTTACGTGAACCCGTGGACCTGTTGAACGGAGCAAAAAACTAACCGACTAAAAGTTAAGCTGGCAGTCCATCAAATGCACCTCATATCACATTGCTGTATTATTCTAATGTGTTAATTATTCATGATTAGATGACACCAGTGATTCGTATACTATTACCACTATCCACGGGTAATTGTGCTCTTCTGAAAGCTTATCAAAGCTAGTTTATAGAGAATGGAACGAACGGCCCGGTGTACGAGCGACGAAAACAACCACATATGATAGCTCTGCTGGCAATAGCTAGCTATGTAATATCTGTTTTTTGATCCATTATAAAGTATTTATTAACACCGTGCACGGAGGTTGATCATAAGGCACGTTGCGGGTAGCTTGTGTATTATGCTCGCCAAGTCCATCTCGTTCATTACCGCACGAGTATTCGCGGCAACGAGAAACAAAAGGTAAGACCGAGAAAAAAAGTTCTTTCCTTCTTAAGAGAGCTGCAGTCTCAGTGATATCAGCGTGCGTTGGATGGTGAATTCGTGGTTTATGGATGGATGGATGGAGGGAACTGTAACGAGCTTAGTTCCCATTTGCACTCATCTATTGCTGGTAGCCTATGCGGCTGTATTGAGTTTGTCTGTGTAACTATGCCTCTCTGGCGAATGAAGAGTGCCGACGACGACATGGTCGCTGCCAGCCATGCCGGTGAAATGCTGATTGCCGGTTCAGGTATCTTATCTACAACGGGGGCTGCAGCGGCCAGTGTGGAGAAGAGCCTCGGAAGCAACTACCGAGCGGGAAGAGTGCGCCATCAGGGACAATTCGCAGCTCCCTGAAAAGGCGGCGCGGAGAGTGCGAAAGTTCTCTCGAGTGATGGAGTCCAGCACAACACACCAACACAAAAACTGCCACTGCCGGGCCGACTGTCGACAACGGGCTAACTGTCTCGCTGTTTCCGCACTCCACTGGCTAGCTAAATGGCTGGCCAGCCAGTGCTCCGCTACCAGTCAGCAGAATCGTCGTGCAGCTTCTATAAAACACCATTGTTTTGGTAGCACCTAACGTCTCCTCTCGCATATGATCAGTGCGTTTGTTGCTAAGAAGCATTTCAGTTGCGCATCTCGGTGAATGTCTTGTTCCTAATATACATCGACATTCACAGACACTTGTCGCCTTTGAACCCCAGATGACCGAGCAACGAACGGCAAGCCACCATTGCCTGCATCGGCTTTCGCGAAACACTGTTTAGCAATGCTCACGCTCCTCGACGCGCACCTACCCTCTTCATCGTGTCTCTACGTAGTAACACGCAGTCGGAGCAAGACGCCTAAGTCGATGCAACGGAGGAGATAGTACCGGTATAGATTAGAGTGATCTTACTACAACGCTTGTAACAACAACAGCTTGAGATCTCTATAGTGGAACGACGCCGTAAAAGCGTCTTTGAGGGTAGTCGCGCGTGCAGCTTCTTCTCAGCGTTAAGTGCAGAGGAACAGGGAGAGAGGCAGCGCCGTGCCTCGTGCTAGATAAGTGAACGCGAAAGTAAGCAGCTCAGCTGTCTTTTGCAAACAACTAACAATGTCGCCCTTAGCGAACCTTGGGCGTCGGGGTTAGTCGCATCTCCAATATGGCCTATGAACTATCTATCTTTCTTTCTTGTTCGTTTTATTTCGACTGGCAACAAGATGGAGTGTCGCAGCAGTATGCCTCATTAGGAAGCCAGCCAGCTAGCTAGCAAGCTTGTGAGGCTGTCAGTGAGAACGACGGAATGGCGTGCTCATCCAAACCGCTTTATAATGTCATAGCTCTCGGTGGTTCTCGTATCGTTTCGTGTGATGGTGTAGTGACAGCCATCACATCTGCCCTGATGAAGTTGACGCGTCCGATTAACTGACCTTACATATTCCTTACACACTAAACAAAATAGGATGGTATACCGTATCTGTCCGCGCAGTTGGCCTGTTCCTCCGCGTGTTCGAGGCGCTAACGGCCTGGCCTGGTAGGGGTGATGACCACAACCACCGTAATTCGTGGACATCAGATGGCCCACCATGGGTTACGACTCGTGCTCCTGGCCACGCTTATAGTTCACTGCATCGGCTACTCGCTATTATTATTATTGTTGGATCCCCTATACACGGTATGCGTCGACGAGCTTTTCCTGTCAGAAAACGAGCAGTGCGCTCTACAAATGGTAACGATGGCCGGGTGAATGGAGCGGAGTCGCGGCGGTGGCGATGGCCATACTTGAAGTCAAAGATCCACTGCTGCCCTGTGCACAGAAAGAAAATGAAGGAGAGCATCGATCAGTGAATGCAAACTGAAAACAGTCTAAAAGTAGAAACCGTGAGTTATCGACTTTTCTGCTGCCCAGTATCGGTCTTCTCCGACATCGGCGTCGAAATGGCCTATCGTTCAGCATAGGGCGCAACCTCATAACCGATGCGGCTTTTCATTTAGAGAATGCCTGATAGTGTTGGGTAAGTCTGCGATTTACTTTCGTACACCTCATGTTTGAGCAGTTAATTTGGCATAGTTCTGTTTTGTTTCGACAAATCTCAGAGAATGACATGAAAAGTCGCTTGTATCGAAATTCTGTGCTGTATATACAAAAGTTTCCAAACGCTAAACCACTGACAAAGTGGGTGGCAGAGCAGAATTTTGTCGTGTTTTTGTTTCCTGGATCACCATGAAATAGCGTACTCTTTCACAATGTCCCTTTAAATTAGGTAAAAGTGAGATGTCTCATATAGAAGATAGCTGTCCTGTATATGACCTGTATATTTGCATATATAACCGATAAAAAAAGGGTGCGTTTGATGAAAAATAAATCTACCCAATGTTGCATTCATATTATGTCAGATTTGTTAAGTAGAACCTATTTATACATAACAATATTTGATGCCATAACATTGGTCTCAATTGACATTACTTAACCTTAAATTGATATTACTATATTTTAGAAACTCTACATATTATCAGTATGTTCGTAAGTGAATAGGTCAATAGTCTGAGGCAACATTGATCAGGGCTAGCCAAAATGTCTTCAAAGGCCAACAGCTTAGGGAAACAGATCCATCTTTGTCTGGATGCCGACGCCAATTATGTTGTAGTATGCGAGCTTTCTAGGGAGAAGGTCTTTCTTCTAAGAATGTTTTACTTGACTGTGAAAACAATTTAATTGAAATGTTTTTGACAGCCAGACACATGCAATATTCCACCATTGTTAATTTATGAATCGTTCGGGCTGAAAACCCCAATGCCGCAGAGGCGGAATACCGGGCGATATGGTCGACGATAAAGAGGGTGTGTTTGGTACTATTTGAGCGTAAGAACAGGGGGGAAACGTCCAACTTGAACGCATAGATCTTTTTGTTTCGTTCGCCTTTATCTAAAAAAGTGGCAGGACATAATCGTAATGGTAAACTATATTTTGAATCTTAGAAACAAAATGTCCTAAATCAAGTGTCTGAAACTTGTACAGCTAAACTAAGAAGAAGTATATATTATCAGCATATTTGAACACAATTCAAATGAATATAAACATCTTCATCTGGTACAACGGTCATCACATTTAGTTCCTCTATGGTTGTCTGTTTTCTTTGTAAACTGTTACAAGACCTTAAAGTTTTCCCATTTGAATAGTTTGTCGGATATATACAACATTATTGAATCCCCGTAATAGCTTAGTGAGTAGCGTATTTACCTGCTAATCTTATGTCTGAACGTCTAGCTTCGCCGAGGATAGGTGCAGGGCCAGCCGTTTGATGGAAGGCCTAATGGGTACCTAACGGGGTGAAAACTCATAATGCGTATTATGATGATGAATATAAAACCCTGGAATGAACTCGAGAGCGCACTACAGACGGCCTGAAAGTTGTCGAACACAATGCACTGATGTGCAATCAAGGGCTAGAATCAGTTTCAATAGAAAAGTGGCATTTCAGTCAACTACTGCGCTTGTAGATAGAAAAGAATCAATGATTCTGCTTTCCTTACGAATCCCTAGACAAAGGGGATTGGCCTGGGTCGATGAGCCCTTTCGTGACTGCTTCAAGCATGGCCACCCTTCAAGTACCCTTAGAAAAAATGCACAAATATTTTTTTCATAGAATTCGTGTTCCGTTTGTCACTAAATTACGCTATAGCTTTTGACAGCCGTAATGCTATGGTTCCGTTTAGAAAAAAAAAAACAAAAAAAAACATCTATATAGCCCACAAGAATTAGTCTTAAAGATTTCTAATATTTTGTTCTCTTTTCGATCTGCTTGCTTCAGTCGACGGGTACGTTTATGCTTGAACACAATGGTCAACTTCGATTCAAGGAAAAAGCCCGACATGCCAAAAACGACTTAAGTATCGAGCTAGCACTGTCCTATGTTGTCCTACATCGTTCTCTTTTTTGACATTCAGGCCGCTTCGTGGAAAATCTAACGCTATCTTTTCTGGAAAAAAAAACAGCAGGAAATTTGATTATACGATACTTGAACAGGATACTTCTAATCATTAGTTTTGTGATGGCTCCTTAAGATGTTGACGGTTATCTTAGATTATAATTCATTTTTCATGAATTCGAAGTGATTAACAGAGTGAGAGCGAGGCTAAACAGGAGACGCTAAAAGTCGAGCTTCCCCTTTTAAGAGCAGATAGATCTTCATAAAAAGAACAAAATTAATTCAGGTTTGGAAACTTTGGAAATTACAAATCCACAAGTCATTTACCTTTCGTTGTTTATTTGTTTTACACTAGCAGGTCCCTTAGTATGACAAACAGCGGCGTGAGCGAAAATTATGACAAATGTGGAGTGATTAATGTCGTTTCTGCCAACAATCACAGTCTCATTAAACATCGACACGGTCCTTTTGAGCCGTGTTGCCTATCCCCCCCTCCCCCCCCTCTCTCCCCCTCTCTCTCTGTCTCTTCTTTCTTTTAGATGATTTTACTTAATCATTTCGATAACAATAATACATGCCGTTAATACCAACATTATTATACTACCATTATAATAACGACATAATTGTAGTAATATAATATTGCCCAGTCATGCCACCAAGAGCGGTGAACGATTACCGGCATCTAGCGTATTTCTGTAGACGCAGTAGTGTATCTCTAATCTGGCACTGTGTGACACCAAGGCGTTTCGCACGTCGTTCTATGGCCTCCATCAGTTGGCAGCACCAAGATTTCTTTTTCCGTCTGAGGGTGACAAGTTCAGTTTACCATTGGCCAGAGGATTGGATAGATGATGTTGGTCGCTACGTCGTATTTTGATCTCTAAAGGGGCCATGGGGGCAGCGCCAGCAATGGCTGTGTCTGTTGCTGGTATCGCTATGGCACGACGTTTTTATACTGTTGTCGCTGTGCCTCGATGTGCGCGTGAGCGTCTATGAGTTTACGAATGTGGCTAACTTCGTGCGGTTGGTCACACTCTGTTTCGTTCTTTGTGGGCGACAACTAGTTTCGCGCTAGTCGGTCGCGCGACTAGATCATAGGGAGACGGAGGCGGCAGCGACGGCGGCGGCAGCAGTAGGAGTCTGCCGTCAAGACCGTACGACTATCCACTAACCAACCGTCAAACGAGCCAAGGAGCAAGCCATCAAGAGCGATCTCCGTGCTCCGCATGGAATTTCTTGGTTGTCGCATGCTCTTGTTTTTTGTGGCGTGCATTTTTACGTATTTTTGTGGCCGCGTGAGCTGGGCGCTGCCTGGTTTTTATTTCTGCTCTTAAACCAAGGCTCTGATACTATAGTCTAATCTGATACCTTAGCTACGACGAATACAATATCAGAATATGATGGTCACGAGCACGGCCACTACGCCCAAGACCGCGGAAAGACCTACGACCTTTTTACCGGTAACCGTGACGACGCACGATAGTTAGACTTGGAGACGGCGTGTCACACATCGCATTGCATTAACGCTCGCCTCTTTTCGAATTTATAAAAAATAACAAAAAAAAACTTGCTAATTTATGGATACTTCATTAGATCGGCAGTGCAGTAAAATTAAACTTGCACAGAATGAAATTCAGCTGCGAAAAAGCCGCGTGAATCGCCGTGCTTTTCTAAAGAAAAAGATGTTTCCGAATCTGATGTGTGGACCGGTTTTTAGGGTTAGTCAATAAAAATAAGGTTTTTCAAACAGAGCATTGATAATTGCATGACAGTTCGTTCATACGCGTACTCATACGACAATATTCGTTGTCTCGAAGCGTCTGCGGTTGCGTCCTTTACCCAGCCGAGTAATCTACTCAGGTCGCAGGAGTTATATTTTTGCTGGCTTTGTCCACGATCGCCGCCTTCGACCTTTCGCCTGGTTTGCTGGCATACACACAGCAGCCACACGCACTAAGTGATACATCACCGTCCGCTGTTTGTCCGAGATGACTCTATATAACAGCAGTGATCATCTAATCTAAGCTGAGGCTCATCCTCTGCTAGAGCCAACTCCATAACACGATCAGCAGCGTAAAGTGCCGAGTGAAAGAGGACACCCGTCCGAGGCCATCATCCAGTAGTCTCTGTTTGCATGTTGGAGTAGTTCTCACCTTCCGCGCAGAGTCCAAGTGGACCCAACACGATCTTGCCTCTGGGTCTGGGCGTCGACGCTGCCATCATTTCAAGTGTCGCACACAACTTTATGGGTGATTTTGCACTGTTAGCCTCTTTCGAAACGTACTGCTGCCGGCGAGAGCGATTGCTTCTCGTTTGTTACTGTCAGGTTCCGTCGACTCATTGGCATACTCACTTGAAGACAGCAGCGGGGTTGATAGCAAATAAGATTCACTAAACGGATGAAACCATATAAGAATACTGTTGATAACAGTAATGATGATATGTGACTCATTGTGTCGGAGTAGAAGTTCAACGACGATCTCGAAGGGCACAGCTGCGTTTTGTCATTAAATGGATCTAATGTTTATAGCGATGGGGTTCTAGTATAGGGTATGAAGGCCGACAGGGTAGTGTTGATAAAGCCTTAGCGAAATTTCTCGCTGAACTCATTTACTTTGTCTATCGAGTAATTTAGAAATGTTGTTTGTCATTTAGGCTTCAAAATGTTTTGTACTGATATTAGCAGGTGCTAGTCAATAGATATGCGCTTAATCTTCACGTAATCTTTATTTGATCAGAGCTAGCGAAGGATGTTCACTGTTCGACAACGTTGAAACCAAAAATAGTGCATACATCATATCCGTATGCAGTGAATCCTTCGACTTGCGACGTGTGTCGTCCGTCATGTAAGCTTGAAAGGGAAGAAAATGACCGATAGTTGGAAAGTCTGGCAAAGTCGTTATGATACCACAATACTTGTTTTATATGAGATATTGTGGAAACTCACTCAAAAGCTTCCGTTTTCAATTCAGGTAAACGCTCGAGACAAATCTGAGCGTTGTCAGCTTTCGATGTTCCAAGATCAGACATGATACAGCAACTACGCATTACCTGTTTCCAAAACTGGGATTTTTTTTCTCGTCACCCATAAAAAATGTTAGTGAAAGGCGAAAGCGATAAGTGCGACCCGATAATGACTGTCTGTAGAAAGTTCTAATATATACATGGCAAAACAGAGCTGCTGGTCAAGAAGACCAGATCAGCTGTCACTGACGCCTTTTGATAGCCTGTGCTTGCAAAGACTCTAGGGAACCGTCGGCCTCATTGGATTCAGTAAATAGCCCTTCTTTACTAATGAGTCCGTTAAGTCAGTGATGCTAACGCTGCCGTCGCCGCTTTACTGGATCGTGAGAAAATTACTGCAAGCTACTTTTAGTTACCATTGGATCGTTTCGGTTCCAGACGTTTACCACTTAAGTGACGGCCTGCGATTCGATCAAACATGTCGCTACGCTCATGTGTGATACTATAAGGTGCCCTAAGCAGTGCTCTTAGTGTTCCTTGAATCATGTTCATCTGCTATTGTCATAACCACAGAACATCTCACTATTTGAGTTAGCATAAACGAGACTCTTACGGATACATATAAATAGCCTATAGGAGTACAGTTTACGGCCCGTAGTTTACAAGAGCGATGGGAAACGCAGAGGAAACGCTGATCCATAACTTACGAGTCTCTATACGAACTTTGATTTACACGGCAATTGTCGTTGTTACGTAGGATTTACGTCAAAGGGTTAGTAAAGGTCGAGCACTATTACTAGCTAGGTGCGAAGTACTGGACCTTTCATACAATAACTTATACTATACAGTTTATTTTAATTTGGTTGACAATTTCAGAGATTCGATTGTGCACCTTCGTGTTCGATTTTTACGCGACACCACCCTGCTATTGTGCTGCTAGTCAGTAGCGCCCGTACTAACATATGACAATGTAGCATAAGTGATTTCTCTAATGGGAGGTGTACACAGTTGTGTATGTTATAGTAAAACGCTTGCCTAAAAGGGCTAGGGGTTTCTCTGTACATATTCCACAATAATTTGTTTCAAGTCGTTTAAAGTTCATATCTCTAAATAAAACTTAAGCACAGATTGGCACAACGTTGATGTTACTTTGCTCATTTTTTATATCGAACAATGCGAGTAAATCGTTCACAAGACCCACCTCATCGAACACCGACGCCGTTATTTCTACGTCCAATAGTATATTACAGTTTGCAATGAGCAGAAAAACTTTGCGTTGCTCTATCGTTATCTAAGTGTGTAAAGATATATCTAAAGAATCCCACTGATTACGCTACATCAGTGGCTTTTTCTTTACTCATCCCCCTACTTAATATCTGTGCCTATCTCAGAATATCTTTACCGCTGCGCCACTAGTAAAAGCAATAATAATGCCATCATCGTTTTCTTTTACAGTGAATACGATCAATCAAAGTAATCAAGCAGTAAACCAATGCGCTATGTTTACAAAATGGAGCAAAAACTTCCCTGCTCTTCTACTGTCGCACTCAAATCCGCCTACGATTTGCCCAAACCAACTAATCAAAATACAATGTAAACGCATAGATAAACACAGACACGCGCACGCATACGCGTAAACAGAGCGTCGGTGACTGATACTACCACTCCTGTGAAGTTTGTCGTCTATATGAAAAATACCATAGATAATCGGAATTTCTGCGCAATAACAACGCGTCCGACGTAGGGCTACACATTCAGGACGCGATCTTACCCCGTCCCGCCCGTTTTCCTATTATACTGATGATCATAGATGGCCGCGTCAGTCGTCGCTCAGAATTTTTAGTTATGCAAATTCATCCCTGTATATTTATATTGTTTGATTAAATAGCAGAATTTCGATCTAAGCCAGCGTTACATACGAAGCCGCATCGCGAAGAGCTTTGTCGTAGACTCATCGATATCCAGACAGTTATCAACAAAGACTAGCCGCACACTATGCCGTTGAACGTTGTCTGCTCTCCCCCCCCCCCCCCTAGATAATTTGCTAAATGATCGACTGGGTAAAAAGGCAGATGCATGCGCGGGTAGCTCGCCGGCCCTACAAATTTGAGCGGTCCATCTAACACGAGTTGTTCTTGTGCCGGCCACCGAGTGCGACTGAAAGATACCTGCCTGCAGTTTTCAACCCATTGATACACTGATGAGAAAGTGTCTTAGTCATTCGGGCCCATCAGCTCGAGTCAATTCACCGTCGGCTTTCGAAGGCCATTCAACTCATCGTCTAATAAATGTAATAAAACAACAACAAGCGTCGCGATAACAATGGCAGCTAGTGGCACCATCATGTAATAATCATCACGTAACGTTATGCGAGCGTGTATGGGTATAATACGACCTCGTGTGTTGCCGTATAGTCAACCCGTTATGTCTACTATAGCATAGACAGCGGACGACTGCGTAACAACGCTGAATCGAGATTTGCCTTTCGGTTTGCTCTGTAGCCGTCAAGCTTTATGCTAGTAACCCTTAAGTTATTTCATATCTAGACGTCTATTTTTTTCTCTCTCATGGCCACTTTTAAATTCTGCGGCGCTTCTCGTCAAGAATGGCCCGCCGCGATTATACAAACGACACAGCGACATATTATCTAACGAGATGCTTTCGATATCTATTAGATTGATCAGCTTTGTTCCACAAAAAGCCTTTCACGGCTAGACGTAAAAATTACGCGGAACACCTGTTACCTGTACGTGTCGTTCCACCGAATCATCATCGTCTGCTTAGGAAACGCGTAACATTTATTTGACAAGAACCAAATAGGTAGGTAGAGCTGTCGTACCGTTGTCGTTGAAACGCATACTGAAAACATTTACGCAGAGGTCTGATGTTTTTCATCGCACTTGTCACTTTCTGTAATACTGTATAGATACAAAGGCTCTTTCGAGTTCTCGTCAAGGGAAATTTTGAAGGTAAATAAGATATTTTTAATATTATTGACGTAAAAATACGCTTACGCTGTGCTATGTTGATGGAGGCCCAGAAAATGACGTATGCCGGAATTCGTGAATACAGATCTATATACGAAGTAGGTATCTAGCCTGCAGAATGGGAGGGGGGCGGGGGCATGTAACGTTACGTATGTAATATTGTTATGAATGTCTTTAAAAACATTTTTTTAAGCTTCGAAAAATTTTTTGCTCAATGTAGAAATGTTAGACGATAAAATGTGTATCTAGACAAACAGAGATTATTCAGAATAACCGTAATACTCCAGTTGTTGCAAATTAATGCTCTTGAACGCCAAGTGTGTTGTCAATTGGCCTTCGTATATATAAAACGGAACAGAAAAAAGTATCTGTTTCCCTTACGAGTAATCTCATAGGATTTTTCCACTCCGAGACACACATACAAAAAGCTATTAAATGCACCTAACGCTGCGAAACGGGTACATTTTGAAATTTTATTGCGATAATAGTAATAATCGTAGTCGGGGTTCGAAAAATGAATTTTAATTTTTAACAGAAAATGCGCAACTAGAAAGACATAGTAAGCTAAAAAAAAACATCAACTTAGAGAAAATTCATCCAAGACGAATAAAGGCTGTTTAGCTACCTATCCCCTCAAAGGTATTCGAAACGGCAAAAAGCAGGACGAGTTCAGTAAGAAATTCCGGCCCTCGTGTCCCTTTCTTCCTCAATTTGACTGTATTCAAAATAAACAGCAGTAATCACTGTATAGCTACATTTAATAGTCCATGGGCTGATTAGGGAGTGATTGTAGGTCAGCATACCTATGCAGTAACAGGGTTCGATCAAGCTAGAATGGACGTATTATCTTGATAGCGTCATAGATGCCTTAGATTGCGTTCCGATGGTGAACATTAAGCATCATCGTTTTTGTCGGTTAAACGTTTGCTTGAACTTTTTTTTCCGTTTAAATCACGAACGGCTGTGGCTGTTCTAAGGGTTTTGATAACGATAACTATAATGGCCCTCCAGTCAATTACATGTGAAGTGCTTTATCAGAGAATCGATCGCTATTGCTATATATTTTTTATCATGTGTACCCATGTAGCCCAGTGGTTATTAAAATCCGCCTGTTACATTTGGCTCTCTGGCACTACGACCCAATTTACTTAATAGTGATTTATCGAATGCAACATCTGTTATAATTATAGTCCAGAGGAATATTCATAGACTGATCCTTGTATGTTATTCTTCTTTCGTCTTAGAGTACAGTGACTGTATTTCTCTATCCTATCCTATCCTATCCTGACCTATATTCCTGTATCATTATCAAGCGTTCCGTCCAACGTCCAGGCACATATACGTTTTAAATATCATAATTTCGTAATATGCGGTAGTCACAGTGTATATATATATATATATATACATATATATATATAACATAATTTTTATGTACTCCATCGTTTTTTGGCTTTTCAGTTGTGTTTCTCAAGTTCGACGAATTACGGAGGATAACCTTGACGGGTGGTCATACAGAGTCATCTTTTCGGCGGTCACTCTTTCGGGACGGGATTCAAACGGACCTGTTCTGTTTCGTACGGTCGGTGGGATCTTCGTCCAGTTTGGTGACGGCCAATTCAGCAAAAACATATCATCGTATTGCTAATTTGGTCTTGGTGAGAGCGGCCTGGCATAGCTGCGGCATCTCGAAATCCGCAACACGACGGTTTGCCCGTGCTGCACACTCCGAAGTCAGCAACGTACATCGGTGGTCAGTAACATCTTACATAACATACAACCCTGCTGCATATGCTGTTCTCCTTCTAATCTATTTGCACACACGCACACTGCTACCTATTGAGTTTTCCTAGCGAATTTGAACGTTGGCTTAACCTTTTGCTACCTGTATTTCTCACCACAACCTGCTCGATCACTTCAGCTGATTAAGTTGCAGTAAGGTATTGTTTAAAAAATTAAATCTTTTTTTACAACAAATACGAAATTTATTAAAAATTATTTTAAAAAAAACATTAGCAGTTGTCGACGCTAACCTAAATGTCATCCTGTGGCGTTTGCCGCTAGCCTGAAGCTTCATCTATTAAACCGTATAAACGAAAATGGAGCAATAAGTTGACTTTATTGAAGTAGTATTTCTCAAGTTTTATTAGCGCCAGCCGGCGGGAAATAGAAAAAAATGTAATTTAATTGGTCTGATATTTTCATTCGTTAAAAATGATGTTTGCATTAGAATACCAACCGAGGCGATATAGAATTGTCAGGCTAGACGTTTAAGGCGTTTAGGTTATGCAAAAGGCGAATTTATGAAAAACCGTGTTTCTAATAAAGGAAAAAAGGTCGGCTAGTTAAGCTCTACGATATTTTCAAGCTTAGCTTTCACTTATTTTATCTATGAGCTATAATGTATGGCTACTTTTAGATGCCATAAACGTACTCAGCGTTCTGAGCACGAACTGAGAGTAAAGGGTCTGAGGTAAAGGTGGAGTGATTGTGAGGTTAGGTTAGCCGCTACTAATCTTGAATACAGTTCTTTACTTCTAAAGTACTATTTTAAAAATAGGCTGTCTAAATCTAGCGACTATATATATCTGATTAGCTAGGTAGTTGAAACAGACAGAAAAATAGGTGAACGCTTGTCACAATCTTGCTTGAACGATCATATTTTACAAATTCACTGAAATAACACATGGCGAACATAACAACGTAACCGTGAGTCGCTAAAATAATTCATGACACGTTAACTCTCAAACCGACGCATATGACGTTACATAGAAAATAAGCTTCGTACGTTTTTTATATACGTGAGTTTGCACTAAATCATAAACGTAAACGTTCATGTTACTGCCGATCAAAGACGACTGTGAATCCACTTGGACATCTGTCACATCGGAAAAAAGAAAGTCAATAACTATACACTTTGAGGAGATATGTAATTTATTAATGTTATTTTTATTATTAAATAACGATACCTACATAGTTACAAAAGAAGTTTTTACACTTCGGCATCATCATCATCATCATATCGTTTTTTAATCATTACTGCCATCATTATGAGTAGTATTCTCCTAAGCCATCTCACCTAAGTAAGGCACATAGCTCATCTATTATACATTCGCAAGATTTTTAGCCCTTCCGTACCGAGTAATTATACACACGTTGCCAATGTCAGTCAGTAATAGTTGATACCTCTAGAAATCGTCCATATGAGCTCGGCTCATTGCCGAATAGCTATCAATGATCTACCATGTTCCCAGTTTATTCCGCACTGATGGCATTAAACCCCATGTGGCACGGGCGATGGTAATGTGGGTTGAAACGGCCATCTCCTTGAATTTTTTAAAACGATTCTCTCCGGGTCGTTGCACCAAGATCAAATACTGCTTAGCTTCGTCGACACGTATCAATTGTTGCTCGTACATAGCCTACGTATTGAATATACCCTATAATATGTTCACTTATATTTTCATTTTTGACATGCGCGGTCTAAAACGTGTTTGTAATAACTATGTATTTTTTTTTTATTAACTTTTTGGTGAATCCAGCGGCGTTGATTGGCTGATCATAACCAATGAGCAACGGAATCACGTTTAACTAGATACATAATTGTTATGTTGTTATAACTTAAAAGCCTATTAGGGCTGGTTGTACTACAGTTATAAATACAGTTTAACTATTGTTATTATGATTACATTAAGTTTTCACACTGTTGGTACTTAGAATACATGGGAAATTCTCTCGCGGCACATAAAAAAAAATCGAATTAAGCATTAAGATGCGTTTCATTCTATGCATACACTCAGGACTCGAATATGTTTTACGTTTAACTGCAGACTGATTCTACTTATATCAATGCGGTACTGAAGCTCGCTTGAGCTTCAGTAATTACCTTATTGTCACCGAGGTATCACTGCGGCTTATGGAAGAGGCTCACTATTTCTCCAGGGGGTTGAAGAAAACAAATTATTCTATACACAGCCATATAGTAAATGCAGTACAGATATAGCTGTCTCCAATCGAGCAGAAAAGTCATCATAAATAATAATCATATGTATATAGATACATATAATTTCTCTCACATTTGTTTTCTAAGTGCCGAGTAAATATCATCTATACGTAACACTATCTAATTATACGTATAATTACTTTATTATTATTAGGTTGATAATTGTTTTTTTTTTTACTATGAACACACTCACGATCGCACACAAACATTTATATCACCTGCATGTGGGTCGTCTGAATTTACCTTAAGCGAACTAAAATAATCACTCGACTACTTTTATCTACCGTTCTAGTTGGCACAGCACCGCTCAGTTCGGTGACGCTTGTCTAGCCTTCGTTTTCTAACTGGAAGGGCTTCATTCTCACAATATCTACTGTTAGATTCCCTGTGTTTTTCAGCGATGTTCCCTTTCGCTGTACAAGTAAATGCATTTCCGCATAATATTAAGTGCGCTACAAAGACATTATTTGCAAATCGGTTACCTAAATGTCGAATTTATCCATCGGCAGAGTCGTTGTTACATCCAACTCCCGCGTATTGCTTTTAGGCAGTACATTTTTGTTATTTTCAAGCTGTTAGTTTGTGTTTTGCCTACAGACTAACTGGTTCCATAAGGGCATCAGTCGTACTACTGACGCTAGTAATTTCCGCAGCGTTAGAAGGTGACGAGGTTGGAGATTCCACCATTGTTACCCCTGCTGCTGTTGGAGTGTCTTGCTGCTGCTGCTGCTGCGTGGTCTGTGAAACTTCGGTCGAGGTAGGCGAAACGTCGGATGATGTTGAGGACCGTAGCGATTGTAGTGTCAAAACGTTTCCGGGGGAGGTTAGCGATATCGTGGTTGTTGCCGACACGTCAGGCACATCAGAGCTCGTTGCTCCGCTGTGGGCCGTAACATCTAGTTCGACAGACTGATTTGATTCTGTAGCAGTTTCATCTGCCCGTGCAATTGGCTTTGTATCAAATGAAGTGTTGATAGTCAATGAAGACGGTAATGGATTTACGTCTGAGGTCGTTACGATAGCTGTCACCTCAGACGAAACTTCATCTGAAGACAAATTTGTTTTATTTGCCGCCGGTGCCTCGGTAGTGGAGGAGGGCTTACTAACAAGTGCAGGATAAGGCTGTTCTTGGGTGGATTCTGTTGAAAACCGACTCAAAGCAACTCGACGCTCCGAGGCACCTTCTTTTCGGACTTCGATAACGGGCGGCTCTGTCTGAGCGGCATACAGCTGGGGTGGGGCTATCGTCGTCGTACTAGGTGGGGCACTTGTGTCTTCGACCGCGGCTGCTTGTTCTGTCGGAATCACGGTTGGTACGGACTCTGTGGTTATTTCTCCACCATCCCTCGATTGGTCCTCACGTCCTAGTTCACTTTCCTTTGAAAGTATTAGCAAATAGTTAACTTTCTCACTTCAGACAAAATTTGTATCGTGCTTGAATATAAGTTGGTGTCTGTGGAGATGAAAATTGTTTATATACTATAAATTCTAATAACCAATAATGATAACGAATAGAATTACTATTAACAGAGCAACTGTCTTTCAACACGAATGCAGACTATATCAGACATCTGATACGAACCACCAGTTTAAGAGTCGTTGTTTCGCTCCCATCGCTGTCTGCAGCCGGGGGCGACAACGTCGAATGTGCCCCGTCTGATCTGTCTTCGACAGGGGGGGGTGTAGATGGCGCCATTGTGGTCTCGGGTTCAGCAGGCAAATAATATTTCACGTGTGACTTGGTCACATTGTAGAAAGACATTCCCGTAACCTGAACAAAATTAAGTCAGTTAACCGATACGCGAATAATGTCTATTAAACAATGAAGTAGCGCTGAAGACATACGATCGGAAAGTTAATTTTTATTCCAGAACTAATAATTAAATTTGCTCTTGAATTTTCACTTCGCATTTATTTTACATCCAGTTAAGCAGTGACCGGAAATCCTTTGGTCTATTTAAATATTTAATGCATTAACGATTCAAGTTCTTTGTTGATAAAATAATCATACGAGAATAAGAAAGAGAAAAGCTCCTAGAAAATCATTAAATCAAATACCCGTTTTTTTGTTTCTCTGCCCTAGGGCTATACTGAAACGTCGTGTCGATTGAAAAGCTTTTACATCGCCTATTTTTCGGCGGAATATTAACACCGCACAAAATGCAAGCTACTTACCTTATTGATCCAGGGCTGCATGGAATGAACACTGGCAAAGATCGTTGGCTGTTTATTAAATCGCCCACAGTACCTTTGGTACGAGAGTAGGCCCGCCAGCTTCCATTTGTCGACCGCAGATAGGCACATTAAGGGCGCTCCAATATCAGTCTGTAAAGCGTCGACGAAGACATTGCAGTGCATAAAGATTGGGAATAAGAACGAGAAGTCAGGACCAGTTTTATTCTCTAAAGATAATATACCTTTACATTGTAATTGGGGTTCTAAGTACTGTTGACAAATGTTCAATATACCGCTTAGCATTATCAGTAGCACGCATTACGTTTTTTTTATGCTTGGAAATCGTATCAATTAGTATCAATAAATAGCAAGTGTATTCAGTGTCTATCAATGACCATTGTGGATCAAATTTTTTAGTGCTTATAGGACATGAGACAGGAAAGGTGTAAATCCGTGCACTAAACAACAAATAATTAAAATGTTAAGCAAATGGTCGCAACGAACATCGCAGGGCTGACGGTTTGCGTTTCCGCTAAGGTCGGCAGAGGCACAAATCATCTGCTGGGACACTTGCTTATCGTAGATCATCTCTTGATTGCACTGCGCAGAATCGTTAATAACTAGTGGCATTTTCGAGACTGTTGTGGTGTAGTTATGTGAACGAGCCACTCCATTGCCTATAAACAAGTGGGTAGCATTAAATCAAAGCGTACCGATATTTTTAGAGCATAGAGTAGACACTAATAAATTTACCGGTCATTCTGACCGGCCGCGTATAAACATTCTGCCTGATTCGTGCTCTCAAATTGCACAGCTCCCATATCTTTATCGTGAATGAAATTTTCGATAAATAAATACTTGCACGCACGATGCATAGCTGAATATAAGGACTCCTTAAAAATTCAGTACGATTATGCCGATGGTATGAGGCATGTCACGCTATTGACGTACCATATGAGTCAACGAAACACGTTATTCCGGGAACGAGGACGTCCTTATAGATGCAAACGGGACGAATTCTTTTGTCAGCTATGGTCATCGGTATTTTAGCGCGAATCTACAGCAATCATTTCAAAGCAAAGTTAGATTTTTTGATCGCAAACCTATCGCAATTGCATGTGTAGCCAGAAATGATATTGAAGCGTCTATCTATGTGCTGGAAGCTTATGAATATCTGATACCGCAAAGCAGGTGTGCTTATATAGTACTTCACTTTGTCCAAAATTCCAATGTTAATAATATTATAATTTGTAAGGGCCAGCAATATGTGGCAAATTTCGTGAGAACTGATGAGATAAGATGAACATCACCGCGGTACTAATAGGTCGTCGAAGTCTCTTTACAACAGTGACAGAAATAACTAAAGTCGTTTTCAGGTGCTCCGTAGGTAGAATATTAAACAAAGCATTTAGTGGCAGAAGTTACCACAAAGCTATCGGCAATCGCGCGCGTGTTCTAAAATGCTATAAGGGACCTAAGCGTACCACAGCAACGTCGTAATCTGGTAAGATCTTAGATCGAAATTGCGAGAAATGCGGATGATAGAAGGCACTGCGGGCCGTGAACTCCTGGCGTCGTCTGTCTCCCGAGTGCGATGAATAGATTTTCAGCTGATCAGGATTTGTTACTTCTAGACCTATGGCATGATCAGAAGAGTTGTTGGTTACTGAAATAGTAAGTTCGCTGATTGCATAACTGACGTTTCAGGAACTGATACTAGGTATTATGTAGGATTCATGTGTAATATTTGCCAACAATCAATCACTTTGGTACACAAGGTACTAGAAAATTCGCCACGAATGAGACATACTTTTAAGGCAGAGTGCCGATGTAATAAGGTGTTGCGGTGTGATAACCTGCCCATGGCACGCAGTCGAATTGTTTGGTCCTACTACAAGCACGAGGTATGACCAGGGAGTTTCGTCAGTGTCACTGTCCACAGCACCTGTCTCACGCCTACGGCGAAGGAATTCAATTTGACCTTTATGCGTGCACTCTGAAAGATCGAAAATAATACAAATAGGTTACAGTATCATCATATATGTAGAATGTCACAGGAACGTAATCGATGTCTTGTTGTCTAATTTAGGTCCAGTTGTTCGTGAACCTAGTGTATAACTAAAACATATCAGATAGACTTAGATCACAAATATATATATATGTGGTAAGTTATATTAGGTTAGTTAAAGTATTGAAGCTGCAGCGTGACACGATAGATTTCATTATATTCAACTTACAATATTCCGCTTAAGCCATGTTCAAGCTACGCAATCAACAAATTCCTATACTATAAATTGGTCTGTCTCTCTATGTTTCAGGTTTTATGTCCGGTATCGCCGTTAGCTATTCTCCCAGCATGCTCCCAGCATGAACCTAGACCAAAACGTGTCTTTAAGACTAACAGTCTTTGGTTTATCTGTATTTACATCTGGCTGATCCTTGGCCTAGGTTATCTCAAAGCTGCTGATTCGGTTAACTTTTTTAGGGAATTTCTGTAAAAGCCATGATATGCATGTGCTCGGTCATGTACCCACGCCATTCTTTTATGGACGACATGCGCTGCACTATAACACAGGTGTAATAAATATAGGAAATAGAACTTACGCCCCGCCTTTTCATCCTCCCGCCCCCTAAAAGCAGCAAAAACCTAAGAATTACACACTTTAAAAAACAAAGTGGCTTCTATTTACCGATTTCTTGGCACTGCAAACGAACCGCTAAGCCACTACAGGACGAGTTTCCTTGGACTCCAGCAGAAAATAGTGCCGATGAAGCTGTCTTACTTTCATCCCACGATGCCCACTGCGTGCCATTGAGTTCCAATTTGACCTGGATAAACACGTTTTAGTTCATAAAAGGTTCGATAAAAGTGTTTATTTAAGAGAACTGCTATTGGGTAACGCAGTTGTGACAAACCAAGCCACAAACTTCGAAGTACACATTTATACACTTTTTGCCAAAGATAGCAAAGCGAGATAATGACTGATGGCTAGCTGGTGACTGGCGAGAGCATTTGAATTGAGACCGGCAGACACTACTTGCTTAGAAGCAAAACTAAATGCTAATTGATAATTGTCGGAATGCCTCATCTAGCTTTAATCATTAGCCCCATAAAAAGTGAAAATAGGTTTCCCAAAAATGTACCTGTTCGTAATTAGCAGCTCTTTGAAATCCCATTTCTTGGCAGACAGCGTCGCTCATTCTTGCTGTGAAGTTATCTCCGCACAGAAGAGTAAACTGTTGCTGCATTGGATCGAATACCTATATTGTCCATTAGAAAATGCATTGAGTGGAAGCACGCACGCTATATATATATATATATATATTTATACACTGCTCTTTCACTGTTATTGAATAATATGATGATATATATATCATCATATTATTCAATAACAATGAAAGAGCAGTGTATAAATATATTTAGACGAGCTAGAAGGTTGATTATCTAAAATATAATTTAAGATAGCAAAGTATTTCAGCAAGGGTTTAAAATAAATAAACAAATCGATGAGTATCAGCGTAAACTATTATATATAATAATAACAACTTGGTACCGTAATTGTAATTAGGGTAGTATCAAGTTTATACATCGTACTTAGACTTTAGCAAAAAATAGTGCCACGACAGAATATTTCCCACATTAAAAGATTATTTACCTCTACAGTGAGCTTATCATCAGTTCTTAGACAGTCCAATTCATCAGTTCCATCCTTACAATCTAGAACTCCATCACAACGAGCACTAGGTTTGCTCACGCAGTAAGCATTATCGCACTGAAACTGCTCGGGAAGACATGTACAGTTTTGCTCATCTGCTCCATCTTGGCAATCTTTGTGACCGTCGCAACGTAGACTACCGTCAATGCAAAGACTTTCCTTAGGACAGAAAAAGTTTTTCTGCACATTCTCACAATCGTTACGTTCTTGGCATTTCGATTCGTCCGAACGGTCACGACAATTGAATACACCATCGCACACCTGACTAGGTTTTATACAGTACGATTTGTCTGGGCATAGCACCAATAAACCCTCACAGCTTTCGATAGTTTCAGCACAATCTGCTTCATCGTCAGCGTCCGGACAGTCTTTGACCCCGTCACAGCGAAGCGCTTGCGGAATGCAAATTGTCGAGTTTGCGCAAAGGTAGTTCCTTTCGCATTTTGTCTGGACGCAATTTGCTTCGTCCGACTGATCGAAACAATCAAGTAAACCATCACATCTCAATGACAGGTCAATACACTTCGTGTCGCATAGAAATTCGGTTTCTCTACAGAGAGCGCTTGTAATGCTGGTTGTCTCATTGACGGCAACCGTGGTCACTTCTTCGTCGAGTGATAAACCTTTCCTTTGTGACGTCTCACCTGAAGCTGAGACCGTTGTGGTATCAATAAATTTTTCCGCATTGGGCAAATTTTCATCCGCGCGAGTGGTGGTATTTGGCTGGACCGATGTCGCAACAATTTCCGTAGAAGATGTCTCGTTGGGATTTGATGATTTCAGATCAAGTGGGATCAGTGACGAGCTGTATATAAAAGACTCTTGTGTTACAATCGATGCAGTAGTAGTCTCTCCTAAGACTTCCGCTTGAGAAGAAGGTTTTGATTCTTCAGACACTTCCGGCTCTGACGAGAGCTGTGGTGCCGACGTGGTGAACTTGAAGTCAGCTAGTGACCCTTGGATGTTTGGAGACACTGTGGAGCTCGCTAAAATCTCACTTGATACAGTCGTAATTTCTGACTCGGCGGATTTGGGTCCACGGGACATCGCATGTTCAGGCTGGTCGCTAGATTCGGTGGATGGCGAGTCCTTGTCGCTATCTGAGGGTGATGCTCCCGCGAGGATGGGCGCTGCTGCAGGCTCGGCTACCGCTTCAGAAGTTGCTTCTTGAAAAGGTTCGTGTTGCAACCCAGTAGCCGATTGTTTAGGGGATACAGCCTTTTCTTTGGCTTCGTCGGTGTCAGGTTCTAGAGGTTCAGACTCAGGAGTTGGAGTAACTTTATCTGAGGACTTAGATTCGTGCCCAGCGGACGGTTCACTAGCTGATTCTGTAGTTGGTTCTACTGAAGATTCACTAGCTAATGGAGGAGTAGGTTCAGCGGGAGGTTCACTAACTGGTTCCGGAGTTGCTTCTGTAGATGGCGCTGGGGCTGGCTCAGCAGTAGGTTCCGGGGCTGGCTCAGCTGTAGGCTCCGGGGCTGGCTCAGCTGTAGGTTCCGGGGTCGGCTCAACTGTCGGCTCCGGGGCCGGCTCGACTGTCGGCTCCGGGGCCGGCTCGACTGTCGGCTCCGGGGCCGGCTCGACTGTCGGCTCCGGGGCCGGCTCGACTGTCGGCTCCGGGGCCGGCTCGACTGTCGGCTCCGGGGCCGGCTCGACTGTCGGCTCCGGGGCCGGCTCGACTGTCGGCTCCGGGGCCGGCTCGACTGTCGGCTCCGGGGCCGGCTCGACTGTCGGCTCCGGGGCCGGCTCGACTGTCGGCTCCGGGGCCGGCTCGACTGTCGGCTCCGGGGCCGGCTCGACTGTCGGCTCCGGGGCCGGCTCAACTGTCGGTTCCAGGGCTGGCTCAACTGTTGGTTCCGGAACTGGCTCAGCTGTCGGTTCCGGGGCCGGCTCAACTGTAGATTCTGGGGCCGGCTCAACTGTAGATTCTGGGGCCGGTTCAGTTGTGGGTTCCGGGGTCGGTTCAGTTGTGGGTTCCGGGGTCGGTTCAGTTGTGGGTTCCGGGGTCGGTTCAGTTGTGGGTTCTGGGGCTGGTTCAGCAGTTACTGCGCTGTTATTGTCCTCCAGATGTTTAGGGTTGCGATTGTCTGCATGGGGTAACACAACTTCTGTAGACATTTTTGTGGTAAGCTCTGCTGCAGGTTCCGGGGTAGAAAAGTCAGACGTGTATTTAAAGTCGCTCGCTTCGCTCGTCGGCTCTGGAACGAGTTTGGCGGAGGATGCAGACGTCGAATCCGGAAAAGGTTCTGCCGTAGGCTCCGCGTTCGGTTCAGGGGTAGATTCAGGAGCAGGTTCCGCTACGGAAGCGATAAAAAGTGCTGTCTCTGATGTGAAAGGCTCTGTCGTTTCCACTAACTTGGGTTCGGGCTCAGCGGTGGGCTCGGTGTAGGGTTCCGGTGTGGGTTCAGGGGGCGGTTTGGGCTTTGCGTGCGATATGTGTTCGATAACGATTTCAGTAGTGGTTGTAAACTCGGACTCGGATGATGAGTCTGGACTTGGCTCGGACGTGTATGCGGACGGCTCAGAGGTTGGCTCCGAGATACAAATCGGGGAGTATATAGGCTCAGGAGTCGAGGACTCAATTGCAGGTTCTGGTTCACTAGAAGGCTCCGGTTCGCTAGTAGGGATCGGTTCGGGCTGTGGTGTAGTAGTTTCATAGGATACCTCAATACACGTTTTGCTGTCGTAGGAAGCATGTTCAAAACCAGGGGGGCATTCGCAAATTGGCTCATCCGCTCTATAGTCCCATCGGCATACCGCCGGCCAAGAACACAGGTGATAACTGCGACACTTGTTTTGTATCTCTGCAATTGAACGTATAAACAACCCCTTTGATAATGCTCACCTTATTGCAGCCGATAAGCGAGAATCTAACACTATATAAGACAAATATGTACGCTAATTATAGTGGATTTTTGAATCCGCTATAAATAAGAACTTCACACACACATCTCTGACAGGTGTTGATCGACCACGAAAGTAGTACTTATTCCGGTTATTTATCTGAGGATTACCTCAAAGATACTTACCCTTGGTCTGAATCGAATCTAACAGCACCGTAAGGTCGCCGCTTGCGTCAGCAAAATGTCCGCCATTCGCATGAAGAAATCTGCGTAACGCTTGATTCACGCGGGCTCCGAGCTCTGGCTGCTCCTCCTCAAATTCGAACGCAATCTTTACCTTGATCGATCCGCTCTCAAGTGCCACAATGCGAGCGCTGCATGACAACAATATACGATGGATTGATCTATCTTATAGTATTTTGACAACGATTTCAACAGAAGACCTCCGAACTAGCACTGAAAAAGCGTCACAGCTTTTCTCCGAACCAGCATACCATAGACAAATGCAAAGCATCACGACTGGCTCGCGAAAAGACAATATTGGACGCGGTACGATTCTTGTTCTAGATTGGGTTCTTTTTAATTCTTTAATTTTTTTTTATTTGTTTGTTCAATTTTTATTTCCATTGTTCTGTCAGCTGTCAACAAAAAACCAATGTTGGTGTGAAAGTCTGGTATTCTTAAAATACCTGGTCGGAAGTTTATCGAAGTGTTCCATCGACTTCAAGATAAGTTCGATGAGCGTCCGGTTAAGATTTTTGAACTCCTGTGAATTCCGATCACTGAGATTTGCTGTCAACGTTTGGTCGGGTAGCGTCAACGAGACTAGAACTGCGTTGTGCAGAGCTGCGACAGGTCACAACAAAAAAATCATACGCGTACTTCTAATTTCTGAATATTACTCTTAACAACATATCGGGCAGCATTTTATTATAAAGCTATGCAAACCCTGATATGCAGTTCCACGAATCGTTTACATAGTCATACCTAGCTATTTCGAAATTAGTAATTACATATAATCAATACCTCATTATGCATATTAGATGAGAGATGTATGCTATTATCAGCATTGCCTTAGCAAGAATCGAGAAGGATATTAAAAATGTCTTGATCAGCCAACGACTGACAGAACATTTCCAGCCATTTATTTTATTGTTTTCTTTACCTGCTGTAGTTTCTTCTTCTGGAACAGGTGGGGTTATTGCTGGAACCCGTGTCGTTGATTCAATATCATTGTCGTTAATAGGCATTGCTACGCCTCCCGAACCGATTCCGCCTCTTTTAACACCGTTACTTGAAGCATTCGATCCAGCTAACCGGACTAAATACAACAAAATGATCACATCGTACGATAATGTGTTATATGGGTTTTCAGCTCATTCTGATTAGGTTGGCAGATGTTCAACATCGAGTTGTTGTTAAGTGAAAAGGTCTCACCTGAGCGTTCACCTAATTTGCTTGTACTTTTATACCTATAACAGGGCCTGGCTCAAACAAAGAAATAAGATGCTATTTAAAGACCCGTATACTGCCTGAAACCTGTTTTAGGTGTCACACGGTTCAATACTAACCTATGTTACCACGTTCCGATTTACGTAGTAAATGCAACGAGCAATAATAGCAGTCCATAATAACTGCAATAATAACTGCAGCAAGGACTTCTCTGCCGTCTTATTTGAGTAACAACAGTCTCAAAATTATTTCTAGCTTGTCGCCTCCCCAGCGGTAATGACACTGCCTTTAACGTATGTATATAAATAGGATCAAATAAAGATGCAAGCTTAGCTTAGTATATCAATATACTCGAAATGACATTTTTTCTGCGAAGCCTTAGTATAACGCAGGCCGTTGTTTGTTTCTGGACACTTCAGCTGGATTTACTGAAATTTGTTGAATTTCTACCTTTAATTAATTTCCACATGGGCGAATATATTACATATGCACACGTCAATTATGACTAATAACAACAAACAATATCACCTATCGACAATATTAATGTTGCCAGTAACACAGCTCGGGAGGGGGGTATCATTTAATGTCATGCTTGTAACCGAAAAAATAAGTGGGGTTACAAAAATATTGCCTGATCATCTAGACTTCACTGACTGATTATCACATCTTTATCATAACGAAATAGTTGCCCGTTTCAAGATAGTTTTCGGATGATCCCTTGCATAAGACTGTTGCTAATAGCTTGTGAAGCTTAGCTTGAAGTGCTTCTGCTTTGAGGCACCACAATTCAGCACAGCTCTTGGACGTATGATTGACCTGATTCATTCCGTATCACGTCGCCAACTGAAACGGCAGATCTGTGTACTTCTCTAACTTATAACGACGCCAAAGTGCGGCCATATAACATGAGGTCACTGCTCATAGTTTCATTACTCTAAACGAACGATTGCGGTACACCAATGGTCATTCGTTCGCGTACCTTTATTATCAGATAAAAAAAAGGATGCTCTGCTGCTGAAGAAGGCAATATTGTAACAAAATTATAATGTTTTGAAATTTAGCGCCATTAAAGCCAAATTAGAAACAAATCGGTTTACCAGCCAGACCTCCATATCTATATTCCATTATTGTGGCACCTACTAAAAAAAAAAACAGGATTTAGCTATTAACAAGCAAATCCTTTTGCAATTCTTTTAACCAACGAGCCCATCGATTGTATTCGCGACAAATAATGACCTTATGTGAACGTTTCAGTTGTAAGTGCTAAAAAATGCTTAGTTCGGAAGAGGGCCCATCACGAGTCTTGATGGCTTGGTGACCTGTAAACATTGTCACTTGAATCCTATGCTTTTTTTCTACTAAGAATGTTTTCTGTTTTTGTTACCACGACCCTTCTTGCTCTAATGATAGGTTAATGTTAACTGAGACTGCGTACTCGTAATCGAGGCTAAACTTTTGTGCACGTTAAATTGTGCACGTTAATCTGCAATTTCGCATAGTATGATGCATAAATCCTATAACTGTCTTTTCTTAGAAGTTACCAAACGATCGGAGAAGACAATGAGAAATTTTGGTACGTATCTTCCCATCTGGAAACATTGGACTGCCGCTATTGTTAAGCACGATTGCAATGTTGTTACGTATCGATTAATCCTCATAAGTGGTATGCAATTTAATGTTGCATTAATTATACAACTTATTCGATCGGTGCAGACAGCCGAGCGGTGCAAATTGGCATGTCCGTATGTACATTGTATATATTTTTCAATCCACAAGACAAATGGTAACAAATAAGTTTTGATGTGTGTACAATGTCAATTATTGAGGGTAACACCGCATTCAAGTTTCGTCAGCTATGCCGAAGTTAGCTGGCTGATTTCTGCGTATATAAAAAATATTTGTTATAGATGTAATTGAAAGTATCTTCTTGCTGAAAAACTTGGCAGCTAAGGTGAGGAACTTGTTTTAGCAAGTTAAACTACTTTAAGTTAAAGTGTTCTTTAACGTTGTTTTAGCAATAGTCAATGACTAATGTGCAAAAACGTTTTTCCTCGTTGAGGAGATAAGAAATCAAGAAGAGAAGTGGTTTACTGTTTTATGGTGAGAGCACCTTTACCTTTGTCTGTGATCTGCTTACTATGACGGTAAAATATCTTTTGCACAGTGACTAAATGAGGCACTCATGCTGCAATCAGTAGCAGAGAGTCGTTACACGCGTACCTTTGCTAATCTAAATCGATCGACAGAATCGCTATCGAAAATTAAACATGTAAGTGTGCTAAGACTATGAAGGACTCTCTTCGATCACATTAGACAATACTGAACAGAAAAATCTACTTCAGTTAGCTGTCCGTCACCATCGATTCTATTTTAGACACATAATAAGTTGAAAAAAAGTTTGATCTCGTCAACTTTTTTTTCAACGAAAAGGCAAATCTGCCTTACCTGATAGCTGAAGAACAGTTATTTTCAAACGACTATCCGAACTCTTTAAGTGTATTACATTTATTATTTAAATCAAGTTGGATGGGAGTGAAGTTGTAGTTCGTACTATAGCTCGATCGAGAGACAGGCACAGACTGATCGAGAACTTGAATAGTTTCAAAGGTCTATGGTTTTCATGCAGTATTTATTTTTGGTAAGTTGAATGACTTTTACATACCCGAGACGAAGATGCCAACGGCGAAGGCTAAGGCGATGACAATGGCTACCACTAAAAATAACATCCATTTACGACAGTTAGGTGACATCTCCGGATGTGGGCGGAGATCGTTCTCAGATTTGTTGAGGTATAATTTTTCACCCCTGCAGGAAAACACGATGGGCGAAAACAAACAGAATAGAAAAAAACGTTAACAATTCCATATGGGCCTTTATTGAAAATATCTATTGCAAATGTTTCGAGATGTAACCACTAGCTATGAAGTAACTATGACAAATCGTCTGTTACGGGCGCACCACACAGCGAATTCCAAATCATAGAATTTAAAAAATGTATGATGGTTTTATTATTTCGTAAACTATTACTATTATGTTTATTATACAACACAGGAAACAAGCCTTTGGCCGACGCGTGGAAATATGGCCTATATAAAAAAATTTTCAAACAGCATCTATATAACGGAGAAAGTGTCTGGACTGTAGATCTTTCGTGGTCGACATTTCTATCTAGTGACATGGACGACACATAAATGGTGATCTATACTTTCATCTATTAATGCATAAAAACCACAAAAATAAACGCTTTCAGCCCACCCAGCAGGGTATCATAGGACACGTGGTAAGGACAACGATTCTAAATATTTATAGGAAATTTATAGCATAAATTAATGTTTGGGCTTGAGAACGTGCAGACAAAGTGACACAAGCTCTTACATAAATAAATTACTAATACTTACCCACATAAAATCAGATCCCTTCCAGTGAGTGAAGCCTCGTAATAAATGAGAACATTGATTCGTCCAGATTTCTAAATCGGATATAGCCTATCTCTATACCCCATTTTATAATTTTTGGATTTTTTCACGTTTTCTTCCGGAAGATGCAGTTTTTTGATGATGAAAATTCATCATGTGCGTATTTTACCTTCTGGCTGGAAAATCGCTAGTAAGTCGAGTCAATAGAATGATCGTCAGTCAAATTGAAAATGAGAGAAGACAGGTGATAACGACAAAGGCACAAGATTGGACGGCAACGAACAACAAACGAAGAGCTTTCCACTGTAGAAAGCCCTCGCGAGCAGAAGGCTGAGAAGAAGATCGCCCCCATCTTTTCTGACGCTTCCATGTATCCAAAAATAAGTGCATCAGCTAGGGCAATGCCAGCGCTGGCAGCAAGCCAACGAACTCGTATCGAGTGAAAAGCCGATTAACTACACCCATTGGTGTATATCGCCAATGCTGATTCAACGAATGCTGGCTGGCCAGTGTGGGTACTTGATCAGGAACACGGCGATTTCTGCCATTACCGGCGATGTCGAATTCGTTGTGTAACACAAGCGTAAGCTCTGAAGAGCCGAAAAAAGAGAGCAAAGAACAAAAATGTACGCGTTTCCATTGTGGGGCTATCCGGGGTTTTCAAGGTTGACTTGAACAGAAAATAATTTAGTAGATTCATCGTAGAATTATATAGATGCGGCAAGTAAGTAGAAGGTGTCAAATAGGCGGGAACTTCAGTGCTATATACGCTTGATAAAAGAAATTACCCATTACAATTACATACAATATTACAAAGTAAAATTACAATTTAAATTCTCGAGCTTATGCAAACATAAGCCTGCTTGTGTTTTATAGTTGAGCCTCTGCGAAATCAGGTAAAACTCTCTGCTTAGTGGAAAACAATTACAAACGATACACATACGGTCTGCTTTCACACCTAAATCGATTATTAGGAAAAATAGAAATTTCATACCTCTCGATCGAGAATTGCCTTTTGAGAGAAAACAAAATACGTGCATTCATCGAGAACATCGTACGTGACTACAGGATATGTGCTAGGCTCGATAGCACAACGACACCGACTATAATACGAGTTCAGATAACCTCGTTATTAAAGAAGTAAACATCTCTGACCGTCTGAGTCTACGGCTGAATGACAGATAATTTATTATTGAGTTATTTCCTTCCTCTTACAATCAATCTACACTTTTGCCCTCCAAGTGGCGCTGCCGTATGCCACTCATGTTTCTCAAACATATTATATATCCTACATTTTTCTGCTCTTCTGCCTTCAAATCTACACCATATACATAACCTAGAAGCATTGCGATTTTTCGTCACTCTCTTAACAGATCTAATCTACGTTACCTTTCATCGTTCTGGCGTCCGAACCAATATTCTAGGAGCCCCCCCTAACCGATTCGAATGGTCACTAATGAGTTCTGCTGGAACAGTTGGTGCTTCGAAATCGGGACTGTATGTTTTCGTATGAATTGCAACATATGGTTTTGGCGTCATGCTTTTCTCTTTGGTGTCTCTTTGAGCGTTCGTATTTGGCGTGCGGTTATGTTGACGGTTTTTTTGTTTAACGCGAGTACCACGCATGTAGCGAAGTTGGTATTATCTTTTCGAAGACGTTCCGGTTGTTGCATGAGAAGGACCGTTATACACCCTTATCGCTTCCATCCACCTCGGACCCTACTCCCCGAGCTATTGGGTCTTCACTGGGAACACCCCTAGCGTTCCGATAAATCTTCCCGAAAGGCTGCTCGCCATAGCATTGCATATCGGAATTCACAGGTGTTCTACTGCTCATTGCCTGAACAGGGCTTGGATATTCTAGCTATCTAGATGTGTGCGGTTGACGCTAACGATTTAGCGACCCGTGCCTTCGGAATAAACAACCGCTGACTGACTTCTACGATTAGAAAAGTTGTCGAATACCAGTAGGCTGCACACTTGTTATATACCACAGTATCAATAAGCTCTAAGAAGGTTTTGTTCAGGAGTCATCTGCACTGGCCCTATCATCGGCGCCTTCGTTTTGAAATCCCCCGTAGGCCCGTAGCTTCCTCGAGAGCACCGTTATTTCGCTTCGTAAAGAAGAAATTCACTCACGTTTCAATGAGTTCCACTATTATTCTTCGTCAAAGTTGTCTTTTATCCAACAATCGTCTTGATACAGTAGCAGCATTATTGCTCGGCTTGTTATTTTACTTGGAAATAATGCACAGTGATGCTGCGGAGCTGCAAGTAGTAAGTAAGGTTGGCAGAAACTGATTACGAGATCTCTCTAGTGGTCATCGTGTATCACACCTGTTTGATGATTTGTTTATTCGTGATGCATCGTCGCCAAGTTTGTTAGTCTAATAGCAAAGAAAGACACTGATCCATCCAGTTTGATCGAAGTTGAACGCTGAAAGACGTTCTGGTTTATCGACTAACTTTTTTATTTTTATCGTCAACCTACATTTTTGCTAGGTAGCGTCCTCTCTAGACGGAGCTGTGAAAGCCCTAGTAATGGTTTTATTGGCCCGAACGCTCTAATGGAAAATTGAACGAACGTATGCGTAATGGTAACTATACTGTGCCGCTGGCTGCCTGAAACCCTTCTAAGGAAGATGAATGAAGCTGCGAAGTGTTTCCTGTTTTAGAAATAGCCACTCGATTCTGCTGAATTGGCAATTGTTTTTGCAAAAAATTCATCCATGCAACGCCGTGTAAAAAGCGCAGTATAGCCCAAGTGATGGCGCAGTTTAAAAACGCATTTTGAGTAAAAATTTACTTACACTTGGCTCTTGTCATGAAAAAAACTACGCCCTGCCGCGTTTGTGCAGAACGAACAAATCTATAATAATATCTGATTAGATATTTTTCCTTATTCAAACGAACACAAGATCCAAAGCAATTCTTATGAATATCACGCGTGTTACATTGGTCATCCTAATTGTAGCTATGTCTATATATATATATATATATATATATATATATATATATATATATATATATATATATAAAAGAAGACGAGCAAAAACCGTACACTGTAGAATCGATGATAGGCAAATCTTCATGATCTATTCTGCTAGTGGGCCCCGTCGTTCCAGCAAGTTATAATATTAAAGCCATTCACCTTCAGTGGAACCATTTCAAGATCGAAATGGAATATTATTAAGTCCACTGTTATATTATACTATATATATATATATAAGAGTACATGTTATATTATACTATATATTACAACGTCTACTGTTATACACCCAAACTGAGACCAAATGAAACAGTTCGTCCCTGACCTCCGATGCTGAATTGAAACATTACATTGTCCACAACGCCCAAGTCATATATGTATTTGAAAAACATTCGGTCAATATTTGGTATTGTACGCATCGCAATGGGTCAATGGCAGCAACCCACTCCTGCCTTACCCCAACGTCTCACGGACGGAAGGGCAATTTGCTCTTTTGCAAACTCTGTGTCGCCGGTTCGGTGCTATCGACCCCTCACTCGTGCGCGCGTATATGGTACAATCAATACGTGAAACTCATCGAACTGCTGAAAAAAAGTTACCGAACAATGCATGAATAGAACGAATTGTGACAGACACTGCTACGGCGAAAACTGCAAGAGCAAAGACAGTAACCTGGCAGCAGAGACCCAGCACGACGGCTTGATCACTCGCCGAGCGAAATTGCAACGACGAAGAAAAGTATGCCCCCTCCCCTCGACGTGTCGAAAAGACTACGCGTGCTTCTCTGTCCACGTGTGTGGCCGCACCATAAAAAACAGACGAAGGATGGATTGCTATGTAGGTGGGCGGGCGTATGGACAAGCGCACGGACCTGAGCTAGGACGAATTGAATCGGACGGATTGGTCTGTTAGGTGATCGAGAGAGAAAATGGGCCCTGGTCATTGATATCAGACTTTGCGCGGTAATCGATGCTACCCGCTGGAGAAGGTACACGCATAACGAACGCAAAACCCCCGTAGAAGTGTTATACACCGCGCGCGCGGCCTGTGGCAATAACCAACGCAACAAGTCAAGTTCCAAGGCATATATACACAAGCACGCATACAGATATATATTCAAGCCCACGCACAGTAGCATGCTGAAAAATATAAGAAAGAGCCAAAAGAAACCAAACGGGAAAGCAAGGAATTGTCATCGTTGTTTATGAAAAGGCTCTCGCAAACGCTATCTAAAGCAAGAACTACTATGAGGAGCGCGTTGTCTGACGAAGACAAAATAAAGCTTAGGCAAACGACAGACAAGCTTTGACGCTGGCAATAAACGACAAATGGGGTGGAAAGAGGGCCCTCTCTGCGCAAAGCACAAATGAACTGGGAGACCTAACTGTTGCCATTCTGAT